CTGAGCGACTGCATCGCGGGAGTCCCAGACCGCACGGGCAAGCGCAGCAGTAGAGAAGGTCTCACGGTCATCAGAGGAGGGATCAGCAGGGAGGGCAGCAGGTGCGGGGGGACGGGGGAGCAAGCCGTCGACATGGACAACCAAAGAGTGGCCATCCTGGCGCTGACCTGTAAGGTGGCGGCGGAGATCGGAGAGCCAGGCGGCGAAGTCAACCGCATGGCCCTCGGCGTCCAGTCGGAGCACGAAGTCCGCCATCGTGCAGGGTCAGCGGCACAGCTCCACAGGAACACAGCGACAGCCCCCTCCAGCACGGCGGCCGCGAAGCGCCTCAGCACGGGCGAGCAGAGGAGACGGAGCCCGAGGCGGCACGGCAGGACGAGCCGGGGCGAAGGGGTCAGGCAGGTGCGGTGGGGCCAGGCAGGTGCTGGCGAGGCCAGGAAGGCACGGCGGGGCCAGGCAGGCGCGGCGGGGCCAGGCAGGCGCGGCGGGGCCAGGCAGGCGCGGCAGGGCCAGGCAGGCGCGGCGGGGCCAGGCAGGCGCGGCGGGGCCAGGGAGGCGCGGCGGGGCCAGGCAGGCGCGGCGGGGCCAGGGAGGCGCGGCGGGGGCCAGGAAGGCGCGGCAGGGCCAGGCAGGTGCGGCGGGGCCAGGCAGGCGCGACGGGGCCAGGCAGGCGCGACGGGGCCAGGCAGGGCGCGACGGGGCCAGGCAGGCGCGGCGGGGCCAGGCAGGCGCGGCAGGGCCAGGGAGGCGCGGCGGGGCCAGGCAGGTGTGACGGGGCCAGGCAGGGCGCGACGGGGCTAGGCAGGGCGCGACGGGGCCAGGCGGGCGCGACGGGGCCAGGCGGGCGCGACGGAGCCAGGCAGGGCGCGACGGGGCCAAGCGGCGGGGCCAGGCAGGTGCGGCGGGGCCAGGCAGGCGCGACGGGGCCAGGCAGGCGTGACGGGGCCAGGCAGGGCACGACGTGGCTAGGCAGGGCGCGACGGGGCCAGGCGGGCGCGACGGAGCCAGGCAGGGCGCGACGGGGCCAAGCGGGCGCGACGGGGCCAGGCAGGGCGCGACTGGGCTAGGCAGGGCGCGACGGGGCCAGGCGGGCGCGACGGGGCCAGGCGGGGCGCGACGGGGCCGAGCGGGCGCGACGGGGCCAGGCAGGGCGCGACGGGGCTAGGCAGGGCGCGACGGGGCCAGGCGGGCGCGACGGAGCCAGGCAGGGCGCGACGGGGCCGAGCGGGCGCGACGGGGTCAGGCAGGGCGCGACGGGGCCAGGCAGGGCGCGACGGGGCTAGGGTGGCGCGACGGGGCTAGGGTGGCGCGACGGGGCCCAGGAGGGGCGCGACGGGGCTAGGAGGCGCGACGGGGCCCAGGAGGGGCGCGACGGGGCTAGGGTGGCGCGACGGGGCTAGGGTGGCGCGACGTGGCCCAGGAGGGGGGGGGGGGGGGCGACGTGGCTAGGAGGCGCGACGGGGCTAGGAGGCGCGACGTGGCCTAGCTAGGGTATGGGCGGAAGCGGTAGGTGGGGGATGCTAACCTACGCGTGATACCATGTCAAAGTGAGAACGAATAATGACTAGAGGTGGAAACCTAGAACAAATACTAGTTGGTTGTACTCACTAGAAGCATACCTCAGTCTAGCCTATAACTTCTACATAGATAATATGTATAAGTTGACAGCGGCAGGGCCCAGGAGGGGCGCGACGGGGCTAGGAGGCGCGACGGGGCCCAGGGGGAAGCGGCGGGGCCTAGCTAGGGTATGGGCGGAAGCGGTAGGTGGGGGATCCTAACCTACGCGTGATACCATGTTAGAATGAAAACTGAATAATGAGTAAGAGAGAGTACAGGTGAATATACCAAAGTGTTGTACCCTCTAAGAGGTGGCCCTATACAGTCTATGCAAACATAGGAGATACACATGTTTGACAGACTCATCCGAAAATTTCAGATGATCGTCAGACGGGCGCCAAAAATTTAGTCTGATGTTCAGACAGCCTCAAATCCTAGCGAGAGCCCTGACTATAGCTCCTTTGACAAAGCTCCACCCATGGAATGACTATTTAGGAGGGTGTTATATACGGGGGATTACGGTAGCAGGAGCCCTGCGTATCACTCAACAGGTATTGCTTGCTTCTTCTCTGCTGCCCATTGCCCAAGTGTTCAACATGTGGGACAGGCCGGTTGGTGAGAGTACGATACCATAGAACTCTTTTTTCTTTCCTCCAAGGCCAGCTGTCCCTGCAGAGTGAGTGCCTGCCTGCCTGCCAGGTTGAATTGAAAGGCTTGGTTTGGTTTTGGTTTGGTGCAATTGCATGCTACCAGAAAGCGCACACACTCAGTGGCTAGCAAGTAAACAAATAAGGTGGCACACGAATGCATAGAGAGACGTAGCTCAGCTCAGCTTGACTCGGCTGTGCTCAGCTCGGCTTGGCTCGGCTTCAGCTCAGATCAGCTGGGATGAGGTCACTTCTGGATGGGGATGGCCACTTTCATGTTGCCCGCGCAGTGGCCGTACACGCCACAGCCAAAGTACAGAGTCTTGCCCTTGGCCGTAACTGGCACAGGGAATCTGAAAGGGAGACGACGCCACATGAGTCGCGCGAGACAGGAAGGTGTGCGAGACATGTATGAAGCTCACGGTAGCAGACAGAGCACCTTTCCCTACTCAGGAGCAGCAGCAGCAGCAGCACCAGCACCAGCAGCAGCAGCAGCAGCGGCGGCGGCGGCGGCAAAAGCTCATCTCCCATGCAGTGAGATTCGCCATTGTCGCACGCAAATGAATCGCACACGCACATGAGATTTTTTGTCCACAGCAGATGCCTGCTGCTCACCTGTACTTGCCGCCAAAGGTCATGGGCGCCTTCCTCTTAGCCGTGCCAAAGTTGCACGCCTTGTACGCGGGGGCGTCCTTCATGAGCCACACGTCATGGCCGCCCTTCCAATTGAACACTGCCACGTGTGCATAAGAGACGCATCGGAGGTATGGAAGGTTTGGGCGATTAGGAATACGTGGGGCACGTGGCATGTATGGATTGTGCGTGCAATGACACAGGAAACATCTGCATGAGGAATGCCGCATGGTAAGACCCAAGACCCAAGGCAAGAGGCACGAGGCACGAGGCATGCGCGGTGGTGGGTCAGTGAGTGAGCCACGCCACGCACCGAGAACGTCCCCAGCACGCACTGGCGTATTCGGCTTCCACGTGTTCAGGCCGTACGTCCACCCCTTGGTGCCCCCCACGGCGATGTTGGCGGCCTGAAAGCGTTGGCAGAGGACATTCCAATGAACGCAGTGGGTGTTGGAAGATTCGTTAGGCTGAGTTGAAGGAGCAACGCCTGTACGCCCACCCACCCCTTGGCGCCCCCCAACAGGCGCAATTGCGAAACGACAGGTGCAATCAAGGAACAGCAAGGCGCAATTGCGGAACAGCAAGGCAGTACACGAGGAATGAGGAGAGCAGTGAAGGCGGGAGCAGGAGAGAAAAGACGCAAGGCGCCGTACCTCTGACTGGGCTGCGGCTGGGGAGCGGTAGAGAGGACACGAGGCGAAGAGAGTGGGCAAGGGTAGAATGGAGCAGAAGGGGAGGAGAGAGAACACACGGGTGAGGGGGAGGAGGGAGGATGACACGATGAGGAGGCGAGGACGAGCGGATTGAAGCGGAATGAAGTGACGGGAAGCGAGGAACACCACAAGGAACGAGAAGAGCAGCGAGAGCAGCGGAAGAACAAAAAACACTGGATTGAAGAGAGCGTGGCGTGCGGCGGGGGCATCAGAGCAGAATGTCGCAGGGCGCGACGGGGAGCCGAGCGGAAACCAGCGAGCACGGCACGTGACGAGGGAGCGCGGGACGTACCGAGCAGGACGAGAAGGCCGGCGGCCACGAGGGCGACCGCGGAGAGCAGCGAGCGAGTCATGGCGCGGCCGGGAGGCTTTCCGTGAAGAAATATCAACTTGTCTTGACGACACGGCCGGTGAGAGGAGGATTGCCCCGAGAGGTTAGGCAGGGTCACGTAGTGGGCTCGGGCCGAGATGGGTAAAGGCGCGGAACGAAGGCCGTGGCGGGGGCGTGTAGTGAGTCGGACTCGGAGTCACTTGAGCGGCGAGCGAGCTACGGTTACGGTGTGAGCGGGCTGGGCATATGAGCGAGGAGGCGATTTGGGAGGTTAAATAGTGCTCCATGACTCTGCGCGCTGATGGCGCGATGAACTGGCGGGGCCGCGCGCGCTGGGTAGGCGCGGGGAGGGGACTCGCGTCTGGCAGACGGCCGCGCGTTTCCGAGCTGGCGGACAGCAATTATCGGAGGTCGACAGCGGAGCAGCGCGGTAGTACACCCTTCCCCTCTCCCCCCGAAACAACCGCCCTTTCCCGTTTACGAGCTGGCGGACGGCAATCGTCGGAGGTGGACAACAAAGGAGCGCGAAAGGCTCGTTGTAACTCTAGCCCACTCCCCCGCCCCCGCTCCCCCCAAAACTGAACCCGCCGCCCTTCCCCGTTTCCGAGCTGGCGGACGGCAATGATTCGAGGTTAACGGAGCAGCGCGGAAGGTGGCTAGCAGCCCAACCCCAACTCCTCTCCTCACCCCTGTCCTCCGACCCGCTGCGCCAATACATCCGGCAGGGATTTCCGCGTGCGCGGAGTCCTTGTCTCCTATACAGTAGAAGAATGCGCCGGCAATGCCGTGCCCCGCGCGGTTTGGTCTTTCGGGAGTCCCTTGCCTTGCACTGTATTCCTGCGGGCTGCACAACCAGTTTCAGTTCGGGTCTGTTGGGTGTGTCGGGCCTATCTGGGACAAGGAGGCGGACTGCCCAGGCAACACCTGAACGTGCAGCACGCGGACTATCCGACCTGACCCGCACCCGACACGGATTCCGTCAGGAGGGGCTCCGTCAAAGCAATCTCCGTCAGAAGGATCTGGGATTCTCGGAGGTACAATGCACAAGACGGTCCCTTGATTTCTACCATGTCGTTATTAACTTTAAACATTTTGCCACCTACAATTAGTGTTATAATTGCATATGTCAGGCATTAGAAAAAACCTTCAAAATGTATCCGATGAAACAATCTTGAGGTTCTAAAAATCATGCCATATATAGTATAAACTTTATTGCAAAAGAAACCATCTATGGAATTTTACATATAAGGGTTCCTAAACGTATTCAGCAGATGCGGAATATCATAAGCGAGCATTCTATCCACCTCTTCCACCAGCTTCACGTTGAGCCGCTCAAAGCTCTCAAACGCACACCCGGCCAGCGCACGCTGGAAGAGAGCCACTGGGGGGAGGTCGCCTTCTGCGAGGCGGTGTTCTCGGGCCACCTGGTGGAAGAGGAGCAAGGGGGAGAAATCGGATAGGAATGGGGGAGAACAGTGGTGGGAAGACGCATTGAGACGGTGAAAGCTATAACACGCACACCACTTCCAGAGGGCACTGGACCGTTCCACTGGTGGGAGGTCGCCTTCTGCTGGGCAGTGCTCTTGAGCCACCTGGTGGGATGGAGGGAAGGAGTGGTAGGAAGGGGGCATTGTAATGCTCAAAAGCTCTCAAAGGCACAGCCAGCCAGCGTGCACTGGATGGGAACCACTGGGGGCAGATCTCCCTTTGCCAGGCGGTGCGCCCAGGTCAACTGTGGGGTAAGAAATGGCTGGAGGCGAGTGGTGGGAAAATAAGCTGTGGTCAAGGGGAGAGGTGGAAGGCGGAGTGGATCTGCAGGGGCAAATCTCCCCCTGCCAAAAGTTTCTCAAGAGCGCTGTTGGGCGGGTGGAGGCATCGAGGCAGCAATGTGAGGGATACATTGGAGACAAGGGGAGAGGGAGGCATTTTCGGTCGGCCACAGTGGACGCAGCTGATGATAACACCCTCTCATAGTCTTCCGTTCTTGTTGGGGATTCATTTTTGAGACTTCTACAAAAACTGGGGATTCACTCATTACAACTTCTGCTCTGCAACCCTCGCTGTTCCATTGTGCAGGAAAGGATCAAATACCTTCTTTTGCCCATGATCAGCAGCCCCATCACTTTGTTCTCTCCTCACTCTCCATCCTACTCCTACTATGCCTCAGCCACACCTTCACCGCGTTTCCCACTAGTTGTTTCCCCCACCACGCGTTCCGCCATTCACCATACCGTCCCTCGTTTCACCCTGCCTTGCCCCACCCCTCCTCACCTTCTCCAACTCCTGGGGCAGGTTGTCAATGAGTTTCTGCTGTGCCTTGGCGTGACCAACATGGCAAACTCCCTCCCCACTCGTCCCACCCCTCCTCACCTTCTCCAACTCCTGAGTAAGGTTGTCAATGAGATTCTGCTGCCTTGGCGTGACCAACATGGCAAACTCCTCCCCACTCGTCCCATCCCTCCTCACCTTCTCGAACTCCTGGGGCAGGTTGTCAATGAGCTTCTGCTGCGCCTTGGCGCGGCCAAACAGGGGCAGCTGCGAGCGCAGGTGCGAGAGGATGAACGCATTCACCCTCGCTGCCCTCGCGCGCTTCACGAACTCGTTGATCTGAGCGAGGGACGGGAGAATGGGGAAATGCAGAGATGCAGCGAGAGTGATGAGCGGAGGTGGGAGAGAATGGAGGCATTCACCCCCCACCCACCACCTCCTCACCTTCCTGCCACAGCTCTCTTCATGGGCAGGTGACAGGCGGCACGTGACAGGTGGCAGGTGACAGGTGGCAGGTGACAGGTGGCAGGTGACAGGTGGCAGGTGACAGGTGGCAGGTGACAGGTGGCAGGTGACAGGTGGCATGTGACAGGTGGCAGGTGACAGGTGGCAGGTGACAGGTCCCCTAGGTCAGACAAGACGACGAGTCATCGGGCCAACACCCCCCACATTCCCCTTTCCTCCCTCCCCCCGTTCCACCAAACCCTTCTCACAATTGTGTCGCAGCTCTTCCTGGGCAGGTCCCCTAGATCAAACAGCGGTGCCTATCTCTCGCTCAAACTGCACACCGCCCAACACTCTCACCCTCCCTCATCCCCCCCCCTCCTCACCTTTCTGTCGCAGCTCTTCCTGGGCAGGTCCCCCAGGTCCGACAGCAGGTCGTTCATCTCTCGCTCAAACAGCGCGCGCCCCAGCCGCCCCTCTGCATCATCGTCGCCCTCCGTCTCTGGCTGCTCCTCCTCATCATCACTCTCATCCTCTTCCTTCTCTGCGCCATCCGCACCCTTCCCCACTCCTCTCCCTTTAGCCGTGGCACCCCCATCGCTCGTTGGTGGCATGTTCTCCTTGCCCTTGCTCTCCTCCAATTCCCCTCCACTGCGCCCCTCTCCTCCCTCCTCTCCTCCCTCCACTCCTCCCTCCACAATTTCCTTCTCCAGACCTGCACCCTTCGTGCTCGCCTCCGCACCGCTCTCCTCTACTACTGCCGCACACTCATTCTTCGCCTCCTTCTCACTCCCTCCAGTTCGTCCCGCCTCCTCCACACTCGCTCCCTCGCCTGCCTTGCACACCGCTTTCTCCTCGCGGGGCTTGGCCTCTGCTCCGTTCGCCTGCTGCGCTGCTGACCGCAGCTGGAGGGCCTGCTTGCGGGGTTTCTTTGCAGGAAGCTTCTTGGCATGGAGCTTCTTGGCAGGAAGCTTCTTGGCAGGAGCTGTGTCGGAGAAGGATCTGATGGGGGTGAGGAGAGGAAGGTGAGGAGAGGAAGGTGAGGAGAGGAAGGTGAGGAGAGGAAGGTGAGGAGAGGAAGGTGAGGAGAGGAAGGTGAGGAGAGGAAGGTGAGGAGAGGAGGGAGATGCAGACCAGTTGGCGATGACAGGATTGGCGATGACAGCTTGGCGATGACAGCTTGGCGATGACAGATTGGCGATGACAGATTGGCGATGACAGCTTGGCGATGACAGATTGGTGATGATGAGGATGCGGAGAGGGAGGGGGTTGAGGAGATGAGAAGGGTTAGGCGAAGAGCAAGAGCAGATGAGCATACCATCACTCTGCATGTCAAGAACCACCGTTATTACCACTCACCCCCTTTAAAGCGAAGTCCATAGTCACTCACCCTATGTACACGCGCATGACCTCAGGTGTGTTGATCACTTTCCCCAGCGACCACATGAGCGCACCGTACACACGCATGAGCTGCCGGGTGTGGGGAGGGGCGAAGGGGAGGGGTGCGAGCACATGAGGCTTGTTCATTACCCTTCGCAGCGACCACATGAGCGCACCGTACACACGCATGAGCTGTAGGGGGTGGGGAGAGGAGGTAGGGAGGGGCAAGAGCGCGTGAGGCGCGTTAATGACATTGCCCAGCGAGCACATGAGCGCACGAGCGCACCGTACACGCGCATGAGTTGCAGGGGGTGGGGAGAGGATAGAGGGAGGGGCAAGAGCAGATGAGCGTACCGCCCACACCCTCCTTCTTGTGAGTTGGTTCTTCCGTGTGGGTTCAACACCAGCCTGATCTTGTCCGCGTTGCCACTCGTTTGAACCCGACTTTGAGCTCAACCACTCATGCGCACACAGTAGAATACTAGATTCCTTTACTCACCTGCTGTGTGTTGACCTGGTCCGCCTTGTTCAGGACCAGCCGGATCTTGTCAGCATTCCCATGCAGCGACGTGATCACGCGCTTGAACTCGTCGCTCACGTCCAGCTTGTGCGGGTCGAAGAGCAGCAGAATGAGGTCGCACTTGCTGGCGAACCACTGGGAGGGGCAGAGGGAGGGGAGAGGCGCATTGGAGGCGCATTGGAGGCGCATTGGAGTAAAGTGTGGGGGCAGTCCTGGTCGCTCACGTCCAGCTTGTGCTGGTCGAAGAGCAGCAGGATGGGATTGCACTGGCTGGCGAACCACTGGGAGGCAGGGGAAGAGGAAGGGGAAATTGGAGGTAGAGGAAGAAGAAGAGGAAAAGGAGGAATAAGAAGAGGAAAAATAGAGAAGGGAAGGGGACGCCATAACAGGCGCTGATTGCATGGGTTCATGAGAGAAGGATCACAATAGCAGGTTCACATGGGTCCTCTGCTTCAATCCATATCATTACACATAACAATCCATACGAAACCTCTAATCTCCAAGAAACCCAGATATTGCTCCTCTCCCTCACCTCGGTGACCCCTGTGAAGTCGTAGCTGCGCTGGGTCCTCTGCTTCTCCCCTGCCAGCACCCCCGGGGTGTCCACCAGGCAGATGTGGTCCAGCAGAGGGTGGGGCAGCTGGAGAGGGGGGGGCGAGGGAGCAGGGGGGAAGGCAGGCAGGGATACAGAGGTCCAGTGTTGCAGCAAAAGCCAGCACCCCCGGTGTGTCCGCCAGGCAGATGTGATCCCGCAGGGGTGGGGGAGCTGGGGGAGGGAGAGGGAACAGGCAGTGAGACGGGGTTTCAGTGGTGCAGAGGGGGCCAGCCCTCCCGGGGTGTCCACCAGGCAGATGTGGTCCAGCAGGGGGTGGGGCAGCTGGAGAGGGGGGCTGGGAGGTAAAATCCAGGAATACAGAGATTGCCAGAAATTCTGGTGCTCTCCCCTGCCAGCCCTCCCGGTGTGTCCACCTGGCAGATGTGGTCCAACAAGGGGTGGGGCAGCTGCGAGATTGCAGTGGGGAGGGGGGAGCCGGAGGGTTTAGTGGTCGACAGGGCCAGAGAGATGCAGGGATGGCAGCATCCCTGGCGTGCCACCATGCAGCCTGTGCAACTCGGCAGATGCAGTCCGGGAGAGGATGGGGCAGCTGGAGAGGGAGCAGGGGGGGTTAGTGGCAGACAGGGAAATAGCAGTGTAGTGATAGAGCAACTGCCAGCACGCCAGGTGTGTTCACCAGGCACATGTGGTCCAGTAGGGGGTAGGGCATGTTCTTGCCACTATCACGTGCAGAAAGGAAAGGAGAGGGCGATTCAGAAGTCTCACCTGCGCCACTTCGAGCTTCTCGAGAAAGGCGGATCCGAAGCGGGCGAGGCCGGCAAAGGGCATGTCGGCGCTCACTGCCACCGTGTTGCCGGGGATGCTGCGGTCGTCAGGGCCGTTCTGGTGGGAGGGAGGGACGAGAAAGGGCAGGTAGGGGCGCCATTTGGGCCAGCAGAGGGATCTATGGTGAGTTTGCAGTGACTGCCACCGAGTTGCCCGGTATGCTGTGATGGTCACGGCCGGTCTGATGGGACGAGAGGGAGGCCAGGGAGGGCAAGGAGGGCAGGGTAGGGAGAGGAGGGAGAGAGGGAGAAGAGGGAGAGGAGGCCCAAGCAATGAACCCAAGAAGTTAAGGGCATGCATGCACTGGCTTGCTTTCATACCTGATTCAGATGCTTTGTGGACGGCAAGGGTGACGTGTGAAAGGCGCAACAGCACGTGAGCAGGGATATGGGAGGAGAGGAGGGCAGACAAGAGGCGAGGGGTGGGATATGACATGAGAGGCGAGGGAATGGGCACGCACACACCATGACGACAGGACGTTTAGAGGATCGGAGGCATATAGCAGCCTGCAAAAGCTTATTAGAGGAGAGGCACGCACCATGACGACGACAAAGCGGTCTGTGGTGGGCTCGGGACCGATGTGCGAGCCTGCAGGGAGAGGGAGCGGGGAGGGGAGACAATGCGAGTCGAGCCAAGCCAGTCAAAGAAAGAAGCCTGAGGTGACGATGAGGTGTGACGATGAAGAGAGGTTGGGAACGACAAACACAGGTGTGACTAGGACAGGTGTGACTAGGACAGGTGTGACTAGGACAGGTGTGACTAGGACAGGTGTGACTAGGACAGGTGTGACTAGGACAGGTGTGACTAGGACAGGTGTGACTAGGACAGGTGTGACTAACCAGGGTAGGGGCGGTTGAGCAGGTGGCGAATGAACGTGGTCTTGCCTGTGCTGTACTGTAGTGGGGAATGAGAGGGCATGGGGGATGGTGATAGCACGGGGGGTGGTGAGTATGGGTCATTGTGTCAGCGTTGAGGGGCAGTGGTGAGATGGAGGTGCAGGTGGATGGTGGAAGTGGATATGGCAGCATGGGGAGGTGCAGGGACAGTGGTGAGATGAGATGGAGAGGGATGGCATGAAGTGAGAGGGATGGCATGAAGTGAGAGGGATGGCATGAAGTGAGAGGGAATGGCATGAAGTGAGAGGGAATGGCATGAAGTGAGAGGGATGGCATGAAGTGAGAGGGATGGCATGAAGTGAGAGGGATGGCATGAAGTGAGAGGGATGGCATGAAGTGAGAGGGATGGCATGAAGTGAGAGGGATGGCATGAAGTGAGAGGGATGGCATGAAGTGAGAGGGAATGGCATGAAGTGAGAGGGAATGGCATGAAGTGAGAGGGATGGCATGAACTGAGAGGGATGGCATGACGTGAGAGGGAATGGCATGAAGTGAGAGGGATGGCATGACGTGAGAGGGATGGCATGAAGTGAGAGGGAATGGTATGAAGTGAGAGGGAATGGTATGAAGTGAGAGGGATGGCATGAAGTGAGAGGGAATGGTATCCGGATGAAATAGGGATGAAATTGGGACGGGGCGAGATGACCAGTAGTGGGAACAGGAAGATATGTGCAGAGATGCGATGTAGACTCCCATGCGCAATATGGACTCAGATGTGCGAAATCGACTCATATGCGAATGTTATGGCAACACACACGTGTGAACGATCCAGATATGTGATGCTAGGCAGCTGGTAACCCGCTCACCTGCCCCAGCAGCATGACCATGGGCTCACCTGCCCCAGCAGCATGACCATGGGCTCACCTGCCCCAGCAGCATGACCATGGGCTTGGCCTCAAAGTCGCTTTCCGTCTGAAGGACAGGGGGGGAGAGGGGATGGTGGGAAGGGAGCGAGAGCAGGGAAGGGAGATGCAAGTACTGTCGGGTAAGTGGGAGCAGCCTTTGGGTGAGGAGAAGGGGGAGGAGCAAGCCATGACGGCATGCGGTGAGCGCATGGCATCAGGAGGACAGAGGGAGAGGGAAGTCCCTTGACCCACCAGGATGGGGCTGTGGAAGTCGGCGAAGCGGTACATCTCTTCCAGCGGCCGCAGCTTGCTCTCATACAGGCCCCTCAGCCCGTCCACCACGGATGTTATGGCGGATGGGAACAGGGGCTGCTCGGGGGAAAGGCGGGGGAAGAGACGGAGGAAAGGAAGAGGAGGTCAACTGGAGCCTCAGCTTGCTCTCATACAGCCCTGTCAGGCCGTTGACCACGGATGTTATGGGAAGCGGGGAGGGGCTGCTTGGGGGGAGTAGGGGGGTGGGGGGACCAAGTGACGGTATTGCGGACTGGGATAGAGGCTGCCTGCGGTGCAAAGTGGAGATAGGAGCAACGTGACGCACGAAGTTGCAGCACGCAGGTAGCAGAGGCGGGCAGGTAGCAGAGGCACGTAGGTAGCAGAGGCACGTAGGTAGCAGAGGCAGGTAGGTAGCAGAGGCACGTAGGTAGCAGAGGCAAGCAGGTAGCAGAGGCACGCAGGTAGCAGAGGCACGCAGGTAGCAGAGGCACGCAGGCAGCAGAGGCACGCAGGTAGCAGAGGCACGCAGGTAGCAGAGGCACGCAGGTAGCAGAGGCACGCAGGTAGCAGGGGCGGGCAGGAATAAGAGGCAGTCTCACATGTCATGTCCCCAGACACTCAATCTCTTCAGTCAAGCCATGCAAAACAACATGGTCCAATCTCAGCCGTGCAGTGGTTCAATCCAGCCGTACCTTCTTGGCCTTGGGCTTGGGCTTGAACATAGCCATGAGCGACGCCGCGAGGGAAGGGTCTGGCTCGTCTGCTGCACGGCCGAATGGGAATGACATCGAGGGTAGGGGGGGGGAAAGAGGAGAGGGTAAGGGATGGGCAGGGAACCATGCACGAGGCAGCAAGGGAAGGCCAGGCTCGTGTGCTGCAACGCAGAGCAGGGATGAGATGGAAATAGGGGGCACAGAGGAGAGGAGAGGTGGTGGGCAGAGAGACATGCAGCGCAGCAGCAAGAGAGGGGTCGGGCTTTTCTGATGAGAGGACGAGGGGGGGTGCGAGGAGAGGGGTGCTATCGGGTTACGAGGTGACTTTTGAGTCGACTCGGTGCGAGGAGAGGGGTGCTATCAGGTTACGAGGTGGGGGGGTGCGAGGAGAGGGGTGCTTTTGAGTCGACTCAAAAGTCACCTCGGTGCGAGGAGAGGGGTGCTATCGGGTTACGGGGCGCGAGAAAAGACAGAGGCAGAGGAGAGAGTGAGGCGAGGCGTCGAAGTGGGCAGAGAGTAATGGAACGATGAGAGAGACGAAGGTCAATACAAAGGGCCATTCGAGAGAGGTCGGGCTCATCTGCTGAGAGACCGGTTTGAGATGATGAGAGACCGGTTTGAGATGATGAGAGACCGGTTTGAGATGATGAGAGACCGGTTTGACATGATGAGACGAGAACACAGTCCGTGCACTCGTGAATAGACAGAGGGCAAGAGCGCAGAGTGATTGAATGTGCATATCACGACGTCAGGGCCTCGTTCACAGCATACGGCTCACCTCCCAGGGTGATTTGTGAGAATTCTAAAGTATCTTCGATGCCTTGCAAGTCGACTCACTTCACAGTAACAGCAATCACGCCGAGCACACGGTTTAGAGGACGCGGCTCACCTGCTGTGTCGGACTCAATGGATGCAGTGCACGCCAGGATGCTCTCTGACGCCAGAGCCTCGTCCAGCCCCTTGAGCAAGGGGAAACACGGGTAGCGCGCTGGGGGGAGTGGAGGGAGGGGGAATAAAGGAGAGCGATCTGGGTCAAGGGGCAAGAGAGAAAGGAAAGCGCCTTTCCGACGCCAGAGCCTCGTCCAGCCCCTTGAGCAAGGGGAAACACGGACAGTGCGGTGGGGGAAGGAAGACAATGGGGAGAGGCGGCAAGACGGAAATGGGAAGGCGGAAGAGGCAGTGGAAAATGAGTGAGAAGTGAGGTCAAAGAAAGAGCACATGGGCCTTTCAAGTCCATCTGGATCAGGCAGAGAGCATGCGCAGACAGGAGTGTCAGAATTGGGAGAAGCAGGGAGGGGCGAGGATAGCGATGTATGGGAGAGTGTATGAGGCTCCTTAAAGCTGCCAATCTCTTGCCACCACTGGCGTTCACGATAGCTCCATATAGCAGGTATGCACAACGCACCATCCCCAATCAATCTCACCTGGCATGTCCTCCCCGCGGGACAGCATCTGCTGCTTGGCGATCAGCCGCATGGCCACCACGAACTCCTCGAACCCCAGGTAGCCCTGCATACAGGCACACGGATGAGAGGGAGGGCGAATCTTTCAGTGTGGTGGCAACCAGACAATGTTCTCATGCCAAGCACGAGGGATGCTTGCTAGGCACGGGGGATGCCAAGCACGAGGGATGCCAAGCACGAGGGATGCCAAGCACGAGGGATGCCAAGCACGAGGGATGCCAAGCACGAGGGATGCCAAGCACGAGGGATGCCAAGCACGAGGGATGGCAAGCACGAGGGATGCCAAGCACGAGGGATGCTTGCTAGGCACGAGGGATGCCAAGCACGAGGGATGGCAAGCACGAGGGATGCCAAGCACGAGGGATGCCAAGCACGAGGGATGCCAAGCACGAGGGATGCCAAGCACGAGGGATGCCAAGCACGAGGGATGCCAAGCACGAGGGATGCCAAGCACGAGGGATGCCAAGCACGAGGGATGCCAAGCACGAGGGATGGCAAGCCGGTTGAGAGGAGCCAATAGCCGCATTGCCACCACCAACCCCTCAAACCCCTTCAGGTAACGAGCAGGAACAAGGACGAGAGGGGGAGGTGAAGTCGGCAGTAGGAGATCGGGGGAGAGCGGATGGCAGCCAGGCCAGGAGGAGAATGCAGGAGGAGAATGCATGCAGGGAGGTAGGAACTGCGAAACACGAGTATGCGCAGTTGACCTGTTGGCGTTGCGTTAGTCAGTGGTCTCCGTTCGTACCTGGCGACGGTCGTCTGCTGCAGCCCAGATCTGCACACGCGGGAGGGATGGGGAAGGAGGGACAGACGGAAGGAATGGGGAGGAAGCGGAGGGGGTCAGAGAGAGGGCACGTGGCACGGAATGAGAGAAGGCGAGGGGAAAATGAGGTGAAGTGAGTGAGACATGGGGAAAGAGGCAAGCGGTTACTTACAGAGAAACCATCAGAGTCAGCCTTTGGAGTCTCAGGGACGTCTGCTGTGCTTCCTCTTTACCGAGTTCAACTCATAGCACCGCTGTCAGCGTGTACCCCAGTCACTCGTACCAGTTTCATGTACCAGTTTCTACCGTCGTACAGTTGCATGTCGCTGAAGCATCAGGGCGTACCGCTTTGAGGTCGTACCGCTTTGAGGTCGTACGCGGGGGCTTTTGAGGTCGTACCGCTTTGAGGTCGTACCGCTTTGAGGTCGTACCGCTTTGAGGTCGTACCGCTTTGAGGTCGTACGCTTTGAGTCGTACCGCTTTGAGGTCGTACCGCTTTGAGGTCGTACCGCTTTGAGGTCGTAGTATCGTCCGCTTTGAGGTCGTACCCTTTTCGTACCGCTTTGAGGTCGTACCGCTTTGAGGTCGTACCGCTTTGAGGTCGTACCGCTTGAGGTCGTACCGCTTTGAGGTCGTACCGTTTGAGGTCGTACCGCTTTGAGGTCGTACCGCTTTGAGGTCGTACCGCTTTGAGGTCGTACCGCTTTGAGGTCGTACCGCTTTGAGGTCGTACCGCTTTGAGGTCGTACCGTTTGAGGTCGTACCGCTTTTTGAGGTCGTACCGCTTTGAGGTCGTACCGCTTTGAGGTCGTACCGCTTTGAGGTCGTACCGCTTTGAGGTCGTACCGCTTTGAGGTCGTACCGCTTTGAGGTCGTACCGCTTTGAGGTCGTACCGCTTTGAGGTCGTACCGCTTTGAGGTCGTACGCTTGAGGTCGTACCGCTTTGAGGTCGTACCGCTTTGAGGTGTACCGCTTGAGTCGTAACCGCTTTTGAGGTCGTACCGCTTTTGAGGTCGTACCGCTTTGAGGTCGTACCGCTTTGAGGTCGTACCGCTTTGAGGTCGTACCGCTTTGAGGTCGTACCGCTTTGAAGGTCGTACCGCTTTGAGGTCGTACCGCTTTGGAGGTCGTACCGCTTTGAGGTCGTACCGCTTTGAGGTCGTACCGCTTTGAGGTCGTACCGCTTTGAGGTCGTACCGCTTTGAGGTCGTACCGCTTTGAGGTCGTACCGCTTTGAGGTCGTACCGCTTTGAGGTCGTACCGCTTTGAGGTCGTACCGCTTTGAGGTCGTACCGCTTTGAGGTCGTACCGCTTTGAGGTCGTACCGCTTTGAGGTCGTACCGCTTTGAGGTCGTACCGCTTTGAGGTCGTACCGCTTTGAGGTCGTACCGCTTTGAGGTCGTACCGCTTTGAGGTCGTACCGCTTTTGAGGTCGTACCGCTTTGAGGTCGTACGCCGGCTTTGAGGTCGTACCGGCTTTTGAGGTCGTACCGCTTTGAGGTCGTACCGCTTTGAGGTCGTACCGCTTTGAGGTCGTACCGCTTTGAGGTCGTACCGCTTTGAGGTCGTACCGCTTTGAGGTCGTACCGCTTTGAGGTCGTACCGCTTTGAGGTCCGTTGAGGTCGTACCGCTTTGAGGTCGTACCGCTTTGAGGTCGTGCTGCATGAGGCCCGAGCGCTTGAAGAAGGGAACGGCGTCCGGACCCGTGATGCGACCATCGGCCTCTGAAGGGGTAGTAGAGTAGATGGGTGGGATGATGTTGGAGCTGAATTAAGAGAGAACATCGCGAGGAAGGAAGCGGAGGTAGGAATGTGATGGGGAATCCAGTGCTACTCGCATCATGGTCGAGGGCAGCCGGATGATCTCAATGGATCTGAAAATGAAGCCTTAAAGCACGTCCCTTATTCCAGCCGGATTGCCCGGTAATGTTTTGGAAAAACAAGGGACAGACGGACGGACAGACGATTGATGCAGCTAAAGGACGCCTTTCAAAACGCCACGAAAGCTCGGAATATAAGATTTTCCGAGATTCTTAGCGCTAGTACGTACGAGGCTGGGGGCCTAACACGGTGGATTGAACAACAAGTGACGCGAGAGTTCAAACGGCGTTTGCGCGCGGGAGTGAAGCACGCGGTGACACTGGCAGCCGTACCTGCGTCGACGAATGCGAACCAGCGCGGTAGACCTGCGAGGCGATGGAAATAACGAGAACCGGCACGGGGAACAGGGGAATGGTGGGGAATGGTGGGGAATGGTGAGAGGCAGCTCGTGGAAGAGGGGAACGATATCGCAACAACGAGGCTCGCTGCCGTGACATTGAAGTGCCACAGTTGTTGTAGTGATACATGCCAACGCGTATTAAACAGCAGGGATACATGTCACACTTGTTGTAGGTGATTTTTTAGTTTTCTCAAATGTCACAAGAACGGAAGCGCTTCGTTCAAGCTTATCCATCACCAGCTTGTTGCTGTGCCTCAGCGAAACTGTCTGACGCACTGCTAGCGAGTGCAAGCTTCGATTTGCGAAAAAAAAAGAGCTATGTAACTCAGTTGTTCTCTCCGTCACTGCGACACTCACCCGCATTTCCTCCTTGCTGCATATCGCTGGCTGCGACGCGACGAGAACGTCTCCGCTCGGCATGGCTCCTCGATTCGGTCAGATTGGGGAACAACCGCTGCGTGGTGAACGCAGCTGCGGGCACGCACGAAAGGCTGCGGTTTCTCTTCAAAATGCCGCTGACAACAATTTCTGCGTCTCGGAACGGAATAAAATGGCCAGTCAGGCGTTTGTCGTAGAACTTCGACGCGACGGTAAGTGAACAAAAGCTTCAGGCTGCCGACTACAAAAATGCAAGACCCAGGAAGGGAAGAAGTCGAGTAGCTCTGGCATTTCTGCTGAAGCCTGAAGCATTTGACCGAAGCATGAGGAGGAGCAGCAGGCAGGAGGGGGTGGCACTGCACCAGGAACCTCGGGATTGACGGGGCAGAATCCAGTGAGCCATGGCATGGCATGGCAGGGGAGAACCTCGATGCTTGACAAGGGATGAAATGGAATTCGCTGCTGATTGGACGAGCGCGGCCCAGTCAAACTGAGCCGAACGCGTTCCCCTGCAGCGGATTGGAGGAGGCTTGATGTGGACTCTCGGTGGTTCGCGCTCGCTACGTTTGACATTGTACGCGTCAGAAGCGGGGAACGCGCATTCGGCCAACCTGACGAAAGCCCTGCTTGACGGTGCCGGGAGATGCGGGGTGAGTTTGGCTTTCCTCGATATGTGGCAGTGTATGAGGATTCAAGTTCAACCATAGAAACATCTCCAGTTCTCGAATTACCGAACAGAAACAATGAAAACACAAGAAATGTTGATTGGTTTGACAGTCAGATAAGTGATACACAAGCCACATAGAGCCACTCTGTGTCACAGCAACAATGCTAGGCCTGGCTTCAGCCACTGTCACATGTTTCCTTACATGGAGGTGCAAACCTGAACATATACGGCACCTTATAAAAAAATACTCCGCACAGCCGCCATCCTCATTACCTGTTAACCCTGAGTTCGCCACTTCAAACACACAAAAAATATATTCAACTACACAACTTGGTAGCTTTCCACGCTCATCTGTGTTCTCCCTGCAAACTTGACTGGTTGGCCGCTGCTTGATTGGGTCACAGATACCACCTGAAACAGCCAACCAATGGAAGAGGAAATCCAAACAATGCATAAGACATGCTGCCCGATTGAATGCACTCGCCCATCGCTGTGCCTGAATCATGGTGCTGGGCAAGGAGAGTAAGTGGGGGCTGGGACAAGGCTTGAAGGTTGGAGGGAAAGAAGGTTATGAGAATGCAGGGAGACAAGGAAGGGAAGGGAGGCTGAAACCGAAGGGCAGGGCGGGGAAAGAGGAATCGGAGTGGGCGAGAGGGAAAGAGAGGGGAGGGGGGGGGGGGGGACCAAGACGAGAATGGAGGATGGTGGAAAGGGGGTGAAGGAGCAGGGGTGGGTCAGGGATGGAAAGGTGGTGGGTGGGAGTGGTTTGAGAGAAGAGTGGGTGGGGGGGAGGGGAGAAGGGGGGGGGGGGACAGTCAAGGACGGAAGGGGGGAGGGGGTTTTGCCAGGGGTGGGATGGATGGAAGGGCTGGCGGACGAGGCGACAGACCTTGACATCGCAGAAGGTCTTGGCGGATGTGAAGCGCACTTCAATGGGGAAGAAGACGTCCGGGTTGGTGGCCGGCACCACAAACTCCATCGATCCACTGGGAGCACGTGGGCGCCACACAGGGGACAGGTGGCAACAGATGGGAAACAGGCGGGGAACGGATGGGTAACAAGTAGGGAACAGGTGGCAACAGATGGGGAACAGATGGGAAACGGATGGGGAACGGATGGGGAACGGATGGGGAACGGATGGGGAACAGATGGGAAACGGATGGGGAACGGATGGGGAACGGATGGGGAACGGATGGGGAACGGATGGGGAACGGATGGGAACGGGATGGGGAACGGATGGGGAACGATGGGGAACGGATGGGGAACGGATGGGGAACGGATGGGGAACGGATGGGGAACGGATGGGGAACGGATGGGGAACGGATGGGGAACGGATGGGGAACGGATGGGGAACAGATGGGAAACAGATGGGGAACGGATGGGGAACGGATGGGGAACGGATGGGGAACGGATGGGGAACGGATGGGGAACGGATGGGGAACAGATGGGAAACGGATGGGAACGGATGGGGAACGGATGGGGAACGGATGGGGAACGGATGGGGAACGGATGGGGAACGGATGGGGAACGGATGGGGAACGGATGGGGAACGGATGGGGAACAGATGGGAAACGGATGGGGAACGGATGGGGAACGGATGGGGAACGGATGGGGAACGGATGGGGAACGGATGGGGAACGGATGGGGAACAGATGGGAAACGGATGGGGAACGGATGGGGAACGGATGGGGAACGGATGGGGAACAGATGGGAAACAGATGGGAAACGGATGGGGAACGGATGGGGAACGGATGGGGAACGGATGGGGAACGGATGGGGAACGGATGGGGAACGGATGGGGAACGGATGGGGAACGGATGGGGAACGGATGGGGAACAGATGGGAAACGGATGGGGAACGGATGGGGAACGGATGGGGAACGGATGGGGGAACGGATGGGGAACGGATGGGGAACGGATGGGGAACGGATGGGGAACGGATGGGGAACAGATGGGAAACGGATGGGGAACGGATGGGGAACGGATGGGGAACGGATGGGGAACGGATGGGGAACGGATGGGGAACGGATGGGGAACGGATGGGGAACGGATGGGGAACGGATGGGAAACGGATGGGGAACGGATGGGGAACGGATGGGGAACGGATGGGGAACGGATGGGGAACGGATGGGGAACGGATGGGGAACAGATGGGAAACGGATGGGGAACGGATGGGGAACGGATGGGGAACGGATGGGGAACGGATGGGGGAACGGATGGGGAACGGATGGGGAACGGATGGGAAACGGATGGGGAACGGATGGGGAACGGATGGGACGGATGGGAAACGGATGGGGAACGGATGGGGAACGGATGGGAAACGGATGGGGAACGGATGGGGAACAGATGGGAAACGGATGGGGAACGGATGGGGAACGGATGGGAACGGATGGGGAACGGATGGGGAACGGATGGGGAACGGATGGGGAACGGATGGGGAACAGATGGGAAACGGATGGGGAACGGATGGGGAACGGATGGGGAACGGATGGGGAACGGATGGGGAACGGATGGGGAACGGATGGGGAACGGATGGGGAACAGATGGGAAACGGATGGGGAACGGATGGGGAACAGATGGGAAACGGATGGGGAACGGATGGGGAACGGATGGGGAATAAGAATGAGCAGTGCAAGGAAACAAGATCCATGATAGACAGGGAGCGAGGAGAGTGAAGACGGGTGGATTAGTGTAGTAGAACCACTGTTACCACGTGAACTATATTTGTTGCATAAGTCGGCCTAGGTACTTGCGTGCTGTAACCTGGCCTTGAAGCCAATGCGTTGGGGCTGCCTCAATCTGAACTCATGACCCAAGCTCTTTTCCTCCTCTTCAGATCCGTGGCACGTAATGTTCCATAACTTCTTTCCCCTCCCCTCTCCCTCCCCCCCCCCCCGCCTCACCCACCCCCGCCCCAAAACAAGTGGGAAGAAAACAACCACGGCTACTCTAACAAGACCAGGGCCAACCGGCAAAAATTTGACATGAGAGCTCACTTGCGGTTGGAGTTATCAATGAGGTCGATGCACCACTCCAACACGGATCTCCTTGCATCGTATCTGTATGCATGCACAGGGTCAGCATTGGAAAGACCATCAGGGACCTGGAGGAGAAGCAAGGCTTCACAGCGAAGCTGCACTGCACCAGAACCACAAGGACCATGCCAAGGAACCATACGAGCTCCCAGCCGAGCGGGGGCTCGTGCACAATGCGCAGACGCAACGCTGGTGCATTGACCTTCGCTCTCCAGCATGTACGCTTCATGCACATGGTTGTGCTTGAAGTCGAATTTGAAGAAAAGAGAAGAAAAGAAGACAAACCAACGTTGCACGCACCTCGGCTCGCCGTCATAGTCCTTGAGCGTGGGCGCTTCACGCAGAGCCGGCAGCGGGATCTCCACAACCACGTGGCGCAGGTCAAACGCCTGTGTGGCCTCGTACTCTATGTTCACATACGTGTCCGCGCCAGACACAGACGGCCAGCAGTTGACTGCAGAGAAGGCAACCAAGTGGGATTGCATGCATAAGCCTGAGGAAAGGCAGAAAGGCACGTGTGGCCTCGTACTCTATGTTCACATACGTGTCCGTGCCAGACACCGATGGCCAGCAGTTGACTGCGGGAATGGGCGCCAAGGGAAAGGGGAGGATCGCACACAGGAATATGAGTAAGAGCAGAAAGGCCTGCATGGCGCAGCACTCTACGTGTGGTTTCGTAGTCTACGTTCACGTACATGTCTGGACTAGACACCAGCGGCCAGCAGTTGACTGCGGGAATGGGAGCCAAAGGAGTAAGGAAATGTTGATTGAGCGCCTGAGGATCTATGCTCACATACGTCTCTGCCCAGACCCCGACGCCAGCAGTTGATTGCGGGAATGGTTGCGGGTGGGGAGAGGAGGAGAGGCGGAGAGGGGGAGGGGAGGGGGAGAGAGGGGAGGAGGGGGGTGGAGGGGTGGGAGCATGCAGCAGAATGGGGGCAAGACAGGACCTTTAGATCAGGGACCCACATGATGATCAGGGACCCACATGAAGATCAGGGACCCACATGAACCCACAACGATGCAAAAAGAATAGGGTCGCTCATGATGAAGGAACGCGAGGGCAGTGGAGGGAAGCAAAGCCGCTGAGAGAATGAGAAAGAGCAGCGGCGGGAAACAGGTCGGCTGAGGGAAAGAGAGAGGGTATAAAAGAGGGAGAGAGAGAGGGAGAGAGGGGAGCCTTACTGCTGATGGGGACGACGGTCTCGTCCTTGGATTGCATGCGCCACTTGAGGATGCCGAGCGGGCTGCCGGTGGGGAAGGGCCGGTTGGGGTCCTTGAGCCCCAGAATGTTCTGCCCGCCGTACAGCGCCTTGTCGATGTTCGGATGCGTCTTGAACTGGAAGCTCTTGTCGTGCCCGCCCTCGATCTGCAGGAGGGAGAGGGAAAGAGAGAGGGAAAGGGAGTGAGACTTTACTGCTGACGGGGACGACGGACTCGCCCTTGGATTGCATGAGCTGCCAGTGAGGAAGGGCCGGTGGGGAAGGGGCGGAGGGGAAGGGCCGGTTGGGGTCCTTGAGCCCCAGGATGTTCTGCCTGCTGTACAGCGCCTTGTTGATGTTCGGATGCGACTTAGATTGAAAGCTCTTGTCGTGCCCGCCCTCCATCTGCAAGAGGATCGTCGCCAAAACCAGCCAGGGATACGGAAAGCAGCACCGGGGTAAGCCGTGTGCTGAAAGAGCAGAGCGAAGCCAAAGGCACTCTGCAACACGACTCACAGAAACTCCCCATGTAGCAGCTCACAAACTTCCCGCAGCGCAGCCCAGGACGCTCCTACCCACGTGGATGCGGATGACCGCGTCGTCCCCCTTGAGCAGCGCCATGGTGCCCTGCACCTCCATGATCTCCAGCCCGCAGCCCAGCACGCCCTCCCTTACCTGCGCTTACCTGCGCCCTCTCACTTACCTGCACCCACACGCACTCTTGCTTCCCGCACGCCCCCACTCTTCCCGCACGGCCTCTCTTTACCTGCACTTACCTGCACGCCTCTAACTCCTACCCACCTGGATGCGGATAAAGGCGTCCTCCTCCTTGAGCACGGTGAGCGCCATGGTGCCCTGCACCTCCATGTTCTCCAGCCCGCCGTCGCGCTTCCACGCCACCACCAGCTTCTCCTCCACCAGGATCGTGATGGGGTCCGTCGCCACAAACGCAGGTTGCCCGCCACCACCACCAAGGCCGACAGCGGCGGACGAGGCAGGAGCGGCGTCCTCGACGATGACCTCGCCCTCCGCCTTGAGCGACTCCAGGAACTGGTTCGTCTTGGTGGACTTGCCCAGCTTCATGCCCATGCCCTTAGAGGGTGCGCCCAGGCTCCCGCCGGGCCGACCTGCGGGTTGGGGAGGAATGGAAGGGAAGTGAAACGGGGAGGCGTGGCACGCGAATGAGTGGGGTGACCGATAGAAATCGGCGAGGGATCCTGCTTTTAGCGACTCCATGCCGTTATGAACGGTGCACCGGGGCTTCCACCAGCTTCATAGCCAAGCGCTTGGCCGGCGCGCCCAAGCGTCCACCAGGCCGACATGTGGTTCGGGGGAAAGCGGTCGTGTTGAGGACGGGCGTGGGTACGAGAGAGGGAAGCGCAAGACAGGGATTCTATCAAGGACGACGAGGGATCCGCGGCGAGGGAAGAGCAGTGGAATGACGGATCGCCACGTTAGCGGATAGAGTATCCCAGTGCTAGAGATTCGATCGTCCTCACTATCGCATGTAAACCAGACCCAAACGCCACCCGGTTCACATGCACGTGATTTGAGTGCCGTTTACGATATTAGGGTTGCGCGCGCCTAGTTCACAAGCGCAAACAGGGGTCGCAGTACAGCCTACGCACGTATCAGGATCGAGCATCGCCTACGCACGTCTCAGGGTCGAGCATCGCCTACGCACGTCTCAGGGTCGAGCATCGCCTACGCACATACCAGGATCGAGAGTCGCCGTGACACGTGTCAGGGGCGAGTATCGCCTAAGCCCGTATCAGGATCGATTCTCGTCTACGCACGGATAGGTTCGTGTATGGACTAGACACTTGCCAGGGTCAAAGTAGCGTCTACGCACTTACCGGGCTCCGGACCAGTTGAAACCGGACCTCCGAACCCGCCACCTCCACCGCCTCCCATCCTCCCCATCTCCGGGAAGCCGTTGTTTATGGACATCTGACCTCCCCCGCCAGGACCCATGCCTGACAGCCCGCCTGAAATCCCCCCGCGATCGACTCTCTTGTCCGCCTGCCAACGGCGAATCGGAGAGAGCAAGCGCGAGAGACGCAGAACAGCGTGATCTCACACAATCTCAGAAAGTAATGAAGGACGTAAAAAGGAAGGCGAGCTGCATATACGTCGAGAGATAAGGGTTAGGTGAACGTGGCAGAAGAACACAGGGGGGTTGTTGTACGTACCCGGAGCTTCTCGATCTCCTGCGCCTTCTTCTTCATGAGGTCCTTGGTCTCGTTGATCTTGCTCAGCATGTCCGCCTTGTACTGCTTCTCCGCGCTGCTCTCCATCTCCGTGAACTGCTTCACCTGCGCTATAGTCACGTTCTCCTTGTGGCCCAGCGAGATGACCTCGTCGAACGCGAATATGAGCTCGAACGCCATGTGACACACGGATTCCTCGTCAAGTCCTGGACAGTACTCGGGTACCTGGAAAGCCAGATAGAGAGACGTGATTGAGAAAATATAATGTCGGCGCATGAGAATGAGGAGACAAAAGCACATGGATCGGATCGTGACATGGAAAAGTCAGAAATTAAGATTGTTACGGCATGAAGCAGGGAGCCTTGGGGATTAGGTTAAGCTTACGAGCTTCGATAGTAGGCGGAGCGTCTCGAGATCCTCTAAGATGTTGCTTTGCTTGTTCGTGACCAGCAGTAAATAGAGACCCTCCAGCGATTGATACACATATCGCACATTCTCGGTCTCGACGAACGTGTGCTGCTTCCCGCTTCCGATGAGTTTAGGGAAAGCTGCAAGCAACCCTTCGATTCGAATCCGAGCCATATCTACGAATTGCCGGGACACCAATGCTGCAGCAACCAAACAAAATACCACGCACGTGAGAAAATGACGAGCGCTAGAACATGGTATGTGAATAGGTTCAACCAGGAGATTAATCGCTGGTGATCTAAGGACGACATGTAAATCGATCTGAACATGCCTTTTCCCGTCTTGCTGATGATCGCTGCTGATAGGACCACCTGCAGAAAAGAAACTAGGTCGTCAATCTAATCCGAGTGGAATAAGAAACAACATGGATGCGGAAATAAAGGCGAATCTAACGCACCATATTGCCAGGACCAGGGATGTGAGCTCAGGCGAGTAAAATCGGGATCCAAACCCTTCCTACCGAAATCACACAACTAGAGCAGCAGCAACGGTCAAGGTCCTGAAAGACGCTACGCCCTAATTAGGAAGACGGAAATCGAAGACGAATCTACGCATTCCGCGATGCGAACAACGGCATTCCTAGATCAAGGGTGATTCTAGGTACAGCACAGCTTGGGAAAGGCACAGGGTCAGTGTTGAGGGAAGAGCGGAAACAGGAGTACCAGCAGGCAGATCTGTGATGCTGGGCTCCCTCCCTTCAGGGGCGGAAGGCAGGTAAAACAGCGGGAAGCGGGAAGGCCGACAGAAAGTGGTTTCGCGGATGAACTCGAGGCTCGCGAGAGTGGTAACATGAATTCGTTGGAACGTGCCGTTAGATAAAATGTTAACTAACATTTTATAATCCGCAAGCATAGGTTTCATATGTTTCTAAAAAGGCAAGGACAGCCCGCCTGTTTGCATTCTCACAACTTCCAGGCTTCAATTTTCTCGTCAAGTTAATGTTCGTACAGTAAAAATGGTATGAATACACTGATGATTCACAAACATGCATGTTCACCACAACCTCGCACTCAAGTAAACTACATGCCACCGCGACTTCTGCCCCTTCCCATCTTGCCTCTCCCCCCTCTACCTCCCCCTCTCCCACTAGAGCTTGACTTTCCTCCGCCCCTTCCCCTCCCTCCACTCCCACCCCTCCCCCCACTCCCTCCCCTCCCTCCCCTTCCTCCCCTTCCTCCCCTCCCACCCCTCCCTCCACTGCTTCCTCTCCCGCCACTCCCTCCCCTCCCACCACCCCCTCCTCTCCCCCGCCCCCTCTAGCCACCGCGGTCTGCCGCATCTTCCGCACCTCCTCCACACTCCTCAGCTCATCCCTCACTCGCCCACCCGACCCTCCTCTGCCCGACATGCCTGTAGCAGGGAACCAGGGGGGAACGGAGGTGGCAGGGCGGGAAATATTGGCTCGGAATGCCTGTGCTTAGCTAACCTGAGGGAGAGGTTAGGGCCTAGAGAGTCAGATACCACAAAATGGTGTAGTGTAGTGTAGGTAAATGGTGGTTGGGGGAGTGGGGTAAACAGAAAGAGTTCTTCCTGCTGTGCCTTTCTCTTTGGAACATTGGAGGATCAGCTCCGCTGCCAGGCAGCAAATCAAACCCTCCACAGGGAGCTGGCTAGCAAGCAGTATACCACCTTCTCTCAACATCCTCCTACCCCCTCACCACCACCCACCCCCCCACCACCATCCACTTTCTAATCCCGACAACCCGCTCTTCTGCTCAGCTCACATCCCCTAGTCAACTCCCACTCACCTCCTCGACCGCCTCGTGCTCCTCCCCTCCCCCTCGAGAAACCACCACGACCAGCGCCACCAGCGTCCTCGTCAGCGTCGAATGCGCTGCCGCCACGTGCCCCCCTGCCGCCCACCCTCATGTGCGTCCTCTCCTTCCACCGCTTGTAGATGCCCTTGCTGCCCGCACTCGTCTTGGCGCCGCTCTCCGTGCGGACCTGTAGAGTTTAGAAGGGTGAGGAGGGATGCAGGGAGTCGATTCAGGGGTTTGGATATTGTAAAACACAAGGTGCGTCCTCTCCTTCCACCGCTTGTAGATGCCCTTGCTGCCTGCGCTCATCTTGGCGCCGCTCTCCGTGCGGACCTGAGAGGTTCAGAGGGGTTAAAAGGGATGCAGGGAATGACCAAAGGGAATTCAGAGAGTGTGTGAGTCAGGGGAGTGACTCTCATGTGCGTCCTCTCCTTCCTTCCACTGTGTGTACATGCTCGTGCTGCCCCCACTCGTCTTGGCGCCACTCTCCGTGCGGACCTGAGAGACCGAGGGGAGATAATTTCAAAAGACAAAATATTTGGAGGACTCAGGGCACTTTCCTTGCTGCCCACCACACAGGCTTTGACCCTACCAGCAGGATCCAGGGATTCCAAGGTGTCTCAATCCACGGAATTCCACAATATCGACTTCGTCTAATTTTGAGGCGCCTAAAGAATTGACCCCTTGCTGCGCACACTGGCTTTGACCCCACCTGCAGGGTCCAGGGATTCCAGGGTGTGAGAATCCAGGGGGTTCCACAAATTCGACTCAAGAGGATACAGCAGACTAGGGGCTTCCGAAACTGAGCAGATTCAGCAGTCGAAAGCTACAAATACTCACTTGCCGCAGAAAATGCCATCCAAGGAAAGGGGTGCTACTCATTCCCAGGAGAAGTGAAGGGCTTGCGCTCACCTTGCCAGAAGGACCAAGGGTCTCCCCGGGATTCAGCTTGATGTACTTCTTGCTCTTCTGCTCACACGTGCAAAGGAGTAGCAGCAGGGAGTGGAAACGAAAGGGATGGGTGGAGTGGAGGTTTGAAGAGTCTCAGAACGTCTCCCGGGGATTCAGCTTGATGTACTTCTTGCTCTTCTGCTCACTGAAAAGGAAAGTGGCAGGGGTTGAAGGAGGGAGTGGAAACGAAAGGGATGGGCGGAACTGGAGGTTTGATGTGTCTCAGAACGCCTTCCCCCGGATTGAGCTTGATGTACTTCTTGCTCTTCTGCTCAGTGAAAAGGAAAGTGTGAGGTAGAGGGAAGGGGAAGTGTTGAAGGAAACAGCGGGGGTGTTGCAAGCGAAGGACTTCTTGCCCTTCCGCTCGGAAGGCCTTCCCATGGCTCTCCTTCACAGGATAAGCCACCATTCAACATAAATGAAACTGCACCTTCCAGAATATATATCATATGAAACAATTAAACAAACACTGTACCTTATCCCAGTGGAACACTGCCTTTCTCTTCTGCGCCCCCTCCCCATCATCAGGCGCCAGGTCCAGCACCTCTGCCTCGAACCTGTGGGGGAGGGCAAGGGGAAATGAGGTTACTATAAGGCGCCCATCAGCAGCACCTACTCCCAGCACTGCGATCAGACGCCATTCATGGAAGAGTGTCCGAGGAAGAGTGTCCGAGGTTCCCCATCATCAGGCACCAGGTCCAGCACCTTTGCCTTGAACCTGAAAGAAAGTGAGGGAAACGAAGGGGCGGAGGGAGAGAGGGGGGTGGGAGGGGAGAGCGGAGAGGGGGTGAGGGGGATGCGAAGAAGTGTGCATCATCAGGCGCCAGGTCCAGCACCTATACCCCGAACCTGCACGGAAGGGAGTGAAAAGAAAGAGTGGGGAGAGAATGAGAGGTGTGCATTTGAAAAATCAGGAGCCTCGAACAATGAAGAGTGGGGTGGGAATGAGGCGAAACGGGCGGGCAATGGGGGAAGAGAAGAGAACATCAAAAGGAAACGTCAGTGAAGGGGGTGGGGGCGGAGGGGGTGCGGGAAAAGGGGAGGGAAGGTGACGGTGTCTCTCCCTTACCTGCCATGCCTGTAACATGCCACCTACCTAACCTGCCATGCCTGTAACATGCCACCTACCTAACCTGCCATGCCTGTAACATGCCACCTACCTAACCTGCCATGCCTGTAACATGCCACCTACCTAACCTGCCATGCCTGTAACATGCCACCTACCTAACCTGCCATGCCTGTAACATGCCACCTACCTAACCTGCCATGCCTGTAACATGCCACCTACCTAACCTGCCATGCCTGTAACATGCCACCTACCTAACCTGCCATGCCTGTAACATGCCACCTACCTAACCTGCCATGCCTGTAACATGCCACCTACCTAACCTAATACAAGGACACATTGACGGGGGTGACGCGTGGGAAGGCAAGGGTAAGGGAACGAGAAAGAAGACGTGCAAACATCAGAGGGTGACTAAAAGTCGTGCATCATCATCATCATCATCATCATCATCATCATCATCATCATCATCATCATCATCATCATCATCATCATCATCATCATCATCATCATCATCATCATCATCATCATCATCATCATCATCATCATCATCATCATCATCATCATCATCATCATCATCATCATCATCATCATCATCATCATCATCATCATCATCATCATCATCATCATCATCATCATCATCATCATCATCATCATCATTAGGAACTGGTGCACTTTAAGCTGGAACTCCATTCCGCATGTGTCGGGGGGGAAGTGTGGCGTACTTTTGTACTTCAGCTGAGAATTCGTTCTTGGGCCGCCCGTTGACCGAAAGGCCGCTTTCCCAGTGCTGCACCGGGCAGGAAAAAAAAAAAGAACATGGTGGACAAAAAAGATAGATTGTGCAGAATCCAGAAATCTTGTAATTAAGGGCAACTGAATTCAAAAGCGTCGGAAAGTATTTTATCTTCAAATCCAAACCAAATAGTGTTATGCGTAACAATATTGTAGCCTGCATGCTTGCACTGCTTCCTTCACTTCCACACTGATAACCAAACGCCTCCTTCGCTCACTCAGGCTGAGGGGAACAGAAAGAGACTGGTTGCCTCATTCACGCATGCTGCTTCCCTTCCGGGTCCCCTATCATTCCCTTCTCCCCTTGCTGATGCCTGGCTGCCTGGACCACACATCCTAACCAGCATTTTGCTTCTCTAATCATCTTACCCTGTTGGGAGGAATGCTGTTGATGAAGAATTGATCGTCCTTGAAGCTCGTTGGCTTCTCCCTCTTCCCCCCTCGCCCCTCCCCCTCCTTCCTCTTCCGTTTTCCCCCACCCCTGTCCCCCCCTCCACCATTGCCCACCCCCACTATCAACTCGTCATCCTCCCCCTCTCCCTCCTCCCCATCCTCCCCCCACCCTCCTCTCCCTCCAAAAACCCAGTGAAATCATCATCCTCCCCTTCCTCCTCCTCCTCTCCCTCCTCCTCCTCTCCCTCCTCCCCCTCCTCCAGTACCTCTCCCCCCTCACCCTCCTCTTCCTCATCCTCCTCCTCCTCTCCCTCCCCCTCCCCTTTTAATCCGTTCCCCCACACCTCCCTCCCCTCGCCCCCCAGCTTGTCCCGCCTCTTGCTGATGGCCTTCTGGTGCACCTCCCGCTTCGCCCTCATCACATCTAGCCCTGCAGCCACTGGGCCCTGGGGTGGGGTAGGGGCGCGGGGAGGGGAGAAGCAGAGGACAGAGAGACTAGAACTGGCTGCTGGTGGCTCTCTGGTGCACCTTCCGCTTCGCCCTCATCACATCTAGCCCTGCAGCCACTGGGCCCTGGGGTGGGGTAGCAGCAATGCAAGAGGGGGAGAGGGGAGAGGGAAGAGAGGGCAACAGGGAGAAGGCAGAGGGGAGAGGAGAATGCTGATGGCCCCCTGGTGCACTTCCCACTCAACAGTCATCTCTGATGCACATGCACCTCCCTCTTGAGTCGACTCAAAAGATGCACATGCACCTCCCTCTTGGCCCTCATCACAACCAGCACTCGTTTTTGAGAATTCTAAAAAATGACTACACTGCAGCACTCCAGTCTCCTCTGTCATTTCATCTCTCCCCCATCTCCTCCCCTCACCGCTTTCTTCTTGGCTGTGGCTGCTTCTGCCTCAAGCTCCTCTCCCGCCCCTTCCCTCTTTCTCGACTCGCCTTTACGTTCATCTTTCCCCTCCCCTCTCCTCCACTCACTGCTTTCTTCTTGGCTGTGGCTGCTTCAGCCTCGAGCTCCAGTACCGTCTGCTTTGGCCTGCTCACGTGCAATCATCCATGCACGCACACGCACACACATAGCCCCCCTCCCCTCCCCCCCCCCTCCACACACACAGTACTCCCCTCCCCCCCCCCCCCCCCCCAACACAAACACACGCGCATGCATGCATGCGCATACGTCACAGGCACTCACTCGTTTTGAGTGGGGCAGAAGGAGAGACGGAGGAAGGAGAAGGAGAACGACCACAGACGATATGGGTGGAGAGAACGATAAGCAAACCATAAATACCAGTTACCCCAAGGCAGCATTCTCATGCCCCCCCACTCGGTCCCCCAGTTACCCCCTCCCTCCCAGCCAGCATCTTGCTTCTCCTCCAACGTCTCTTGCCCCGTCAGACAACTGTTTTCCGCATGGCAAGCAGCGTCCCTGCTTACCTCCTCGGTAGCTACCCATCCGTCCCTCCTGCTGCTCCGCTCTCCCCAACGCCCCCTCTCTCTCCTAATATCCTTCAGATGCTTGGCAAACGCCGCAGCAGCAGCAGCAGCAGCAGCAGCAGCAGCAGCAGCAGCAGCAGCAGCAGCAGCAGCAGCAGCAGCAGCAGCAGCAGCAGCAGCAGCAGCAGCAGCAGCAGCAGCAGCAGCAGCAGCAGCAGCAGCAGCAGCAGCAGCAGCAGCAGCAGCAGCAGCAGCAGCAGCAGCAGCAGCAACAGCAGCACCGCAGCAGCAGCAGCACCGCAGCAGCAGCAGCACCGCAGTAGCAGCAGCACCGCAGCAGCAGCAGCACCGCAGCAGCAGCAGCAGCAGCATCCAGGCCGCCCAAACCAGATGCACGGCCTCCCTCCCTGCCTGCCAGCGCGTTGCTCCTCCCACCCACTTCGTACTCACTCCTGTATCCCTCGTACTCAAATTTGCCAACACACAGCAAGCACGGTCAATCCCCATCAACCAATCCCGATTCCCGCCCAATCCCCCCTCCAGAACCCATAAGAGCCCCCCTAGCATCCCCCCAACGCCGCCCTCCCCACCTGAACTTCGTAAGGTGCTCGGCGAATGCAGCAGCAGCGGACTCCATCCCGCCCACGGGGCCCCTCAAAATCAGATGCACGCCCTCCCTAAACCCTACGCCACCCACCACCTTGCCCACCCCGAACCCCCTAACCATCCCACCAGACATCCATCGACCCACCTGAACTTCTTGAGGTGCTCAGCAAACGCCGCAGCAGCAGACTCCATCCCCCCAACTCTGTCCCTCAGCGTCAGGTGCACGCCTTCCCTCCCCGCCAGCGCCTTGCTCCGCTTCGCACTCTCGTTCGAAGCAGCAGGCCGCGTCCTCAGGTAGAGCTTCATGGCCTTTCCAGCCACTTTCAGCAGCATCCCCACCGCCACGCTCGAGCTCTCCAGCTCTCTTAATCTCTCCAAGTACCGGTCTAACTCCGTCTGTATGTACCGTCCGTAGACCGTCTCCCCTCGCTCCTGCGCCTCCCTTGCAGCCAATAGGCTTGCGCCACCTGTCGCCTCGATCTCGTCTTCTAGCGGCGCCGGGCGGATTGGCTTGGAGAGGAAGAGGTGAAGGTCGAGCACGAAGGGCAGCTCTTCTGCTGTGAAAAAAGAATATGCCGTGCCCGAACGGCCCGCGCGCGCCGCACGGCCTGCCCGGTGGACAAAAAGTTTCGGCTTGGGCGGGAAGTCGAAATTTATGACGTTGTCGAGGAGAGGGATGTCGATACCTCGGGCAGCGACGTCGGTCACGATGAGAAGAGATGTTCGGCCTGCACGGAACTTGGCGATGTGGATTTTACGGGCAGTTTGGTCCATGGCTCCATAAACAACCGAAGATGGTAACCGTTCGGATTGTAACACTTCGTGTAACAGCTCCGCATGATGCTTCGTTGCCACGAATATAATCGTCTGCTTCCCATTGCCCCTTCCAGCAAACCCCCTCCTCCTCCCCTCCCTTTCTCTCACCTCATCCTCTCTTTCCTCCCCCAATTCCTCCTCGTCCTCCCCCTCTTCTCTCACTGGCCTCCCCCCTCCACCTGCCCCTGACCCCACCTGAATAACCTCCTGAAGCAAATGCAGCAGGGCAGCCATTTTCTCGTGCGGTCTGACCGTGAAAAAAGAAAGCGCCAGATCCGGACTCAGCTTCGTCTCGGTGTCCAATCGCACCAGCTGCGGCTCCCTCAATCCTGCCCGGGCGAACTCCGCCAGCATCTTGGGCAGCGTGGCCGAAAAAAGCAGCGTCTGCCGTGACTCGGGCATCCCGCGCAAAATCTCCTTAAGCTGGGTAGCAAACCCCATCTCAAAAAGCCGGTCAGCCTCATCAAAAACAACGTACTCCACGGATTTCAGACTCATCCCCTCCACCTCAGCCAGGTGATGCATCAGCCTGCCAGGTGTCGCCACGAGAATGTCCGGGCTGCGCGAGAGCGCCTCGAATTGCCCCTCCATGCTGTCCCCTCCTACTAGCACTGCCGCCCGGAGGTCTGTGAATTTCCCGAGCTCCTTGGTGAACTTGAACGTCTGCAGGGCCAGCTCTCTGGGTGGGTGAGAGGGGGAGGTATCAGAGACAAAGGGGGAATCAGCAGGAACGAATAAACAGGAAGAAAAGGCATTCCTCTCTATGAACTGCCCCTCCGTCCGGTCTCCTCCTACTAGCACCGTCGCCCGGAGGTCGGTGAATTTGCCGACCTCCTTGGTGATTTTGAACGTCTGTAGGGCCAGCTCTCTGGGAGGGTGAAAGGGGGAGGTAAAAGAGACAGAGGGGGGATCAGCAGGAACCGATAAGCGGGAATCAGCAAGAGTGCAGTACGTTGAAACCAGTGAAATGGGTGCTCGCTTACACCCCGCAGCTAGTCAACGTCAAACCCTGAACCCTTTACCATTCACTAACCCCTGAACCCCTAAACTACACTAATCGCTAATGCCTGAACCCTTCGACGTACTAGGTACTAAAGACGGCAGGAAAAGCTACCCCCAGCCTCAATTCCTTCGCTGTTAGAACAAGAGCGCAATGCGTATCCACACAATGAACTCCCTCACGAAAAGACTCAAGGTACTATCCACATGTCCTGCGCTTCTTTCGCCATTTCCTATCCCCTCACCAACCATTCCTACGCCCCCGCGCACCTCGTAGGCGAGAGAATCACGGCGCGGATCCCGGCGGTGTTCGAGTGTGCCTTGAGGCGCTCGATCATGGGGATGAGGAACGCCGCCGTTTTACCGGAACCCGTGCGCGCCATGGCAACCACGTCCTGCCCGGCGAGCACCATGGGCAGCGTTCGCCGCTGGATGGGCGTCGGCACCTGGTAGCCCTTGCGCCGCACGGCGCGATACACGGCGGCACTCAGGCCCATGCTCTCGAAACCAAAAGATTTTGATTTTTTCTTCTTCACTCCTTGCCCCGTAACGGGAGCGAAGCCCATTCCGACGTCTTCTGAAGGGAACATACTTTCCGTTTCGCCCCCGTCCATGGTGCTCTCTGTGTTATACGCTACGGTCTTGCAAGTACTAGCTTGGAGACTAGGAGCAGCGGGAAGTAAGCAGACGTGACTGGAGGGTGGAAAGGTTTTCGCGTGGGAGGGCTAGAGAGGTTTGGAGGTTTGGGTTTGGTGTGCTTTGTTGGGGAGGGGAATTTCCTCCACCGCTTTGGGTAGGAAACCAACTCTGCTCTTTGTCAGAAGTTGTGGCAATTCATAAGGAAATAAAGGCGCGGGTTTGGAAAATTATATGGCACACATAGTAAGCATATCGACGATTGGTTGGTACTACAGCAAGATGCTTTATTGCGAGCCAAGTTGTTGTCCCTTGTCCGCCTCATTCTTTCAGCGAGTTGTAGCTGAAAGCGCGCTCCTAGTCCAAACGAGTCACACCCTAGCGGATATGAGATTTCACAAACCCACCACCACTTGCACCACCCGCCATCTTCCCTCCCTGACTCTCCCTCCTGCTCTTCTTGCTCCCAGCCGCGGCGGTCCTAGAAGCACGGTCAGAGTTGAACGGCCGCCAGATGCGGAGAGACTCATCAGCTGAGATGGAGGCCACTGTGTCACCGTCAGGGGCCTGCCATCAGTGATAAACGAAGCACGACATTAGCGTATGTTAACGACGGCGTTCTGAGCGTTTAAACTAGACCAGCCTCCCTTACCTGCGCGGTTGACAGTACACGCCCAGAATGCCCTTTCAGTCGAGCCAGCGGAACCAGAGAGGGATACTTCGAAACGACCAGCTGGTTCTTGTTGGCTCCTTCGTAGCCATGAGCGCTTACAATCTCTCGCTCTTTCTTGCTCCAGTGCAAGCCCGTGACCTGCAAGTCAAGACGAAAGGACAGTTCCAGACATCGTTTCTCGTGAACTCAGAATTACGCGGAGAAGTGCCCACCTGTGACTCCGCGTCGACGCTGTTCACGCATGCGCCGGTCCGCGTGTTCCAGAACCGGATGGTGCAGTCCGTCGAACCTCCTCCCGTGGCCAGCAGGTGGCTCTGGAAAGGGCACCACGCGAGAGCCTTCACTGCTCCGCGGTGGTCAGCGAATCGATGCAGCAAAGGCACGGGAACTCCAGTAGCGCTGCTGGCCGCAGAACCAACGCTGCTCCTCCGACGGTCTGCTCCGTCGTGACTGTTAGCTTTAGATGCCTGGGACGATGACATCGACGCTGCGTCCCAGATGTGGACGAGGTTGTCGTCTCCCCCGCTGGCGAGCTGGCGTCCAGTCGCCGCCCACTTTAGCCCACATACTCCGTCGCGATGGGCCTTGAATCTCGCGATGATGTGCTCACGGGCGCGCACTATAAAAAAAATGTTTAAGTTCAGAGGTGAGTAGTGAGCAATTCAAAGTGTTGGACTTCACCAACGGTTGGCTGATTAGGAATGCATGGCGGCTCACCATCATGGTTGACGATTGTGCCAGCATGGTCGCCCGTTGATAAGGTTGTCTTGTACCAGTCCATTGCACCAATAACTGCTGAATGTCCCTTGAACGTTCGGACCTGCAGTTTATGGTCAAGCGATGTCAGTTAGGACTTCCATGGATATACATCTTACAGATGTACTGACACATAGATGCAGAAACGTATGCTTCAGATACTAGCCTGCTGTGGGATGGAGACGTTCCAAACTTGGATCTCAGAATTGCTGATCGCTATGGCCAAGTGTACGCCATCAGGAGCCCATGAGACTCCTGTCACGTAGGGAGATTGTTCATCCTCCGTCAAAATGGACATGAGCTCCACAGATTCCTCGTTCTCGGCATTCCATATGAACACTGACGTTCCAAGAGCTACAGCGATTAAGTTGGAAATGCTCCAGTCTATCATTTGGAGATAGTAGTCGTCCACCACTCCAGGCGCGTCTAGGACCTTCTCTGCCACCTGAAAGATAAAACAGTTTTGGAGTCAGTGATTGTCTAAACGTAAGGATTAAGCAATAAGCATGTCTCTAGCGGAGTTACCTGAGATACCGCGCGAGGAGGCCGCCGTGCGGGAACGTCACTAGAGTTGGCGATCTTGGTGGTGCTGTCAACTCCATTGTCTGACTCAGCTGCAGGTGCTTTCACTTTGAACGATAACACTCTCGGCTTCCTTGCCGAGTCTCCCTCTCCGCCTTCAACGCATCTCGCCATCAATCCTTCAAGACGCTTCCGATAACTTCCCTGGTTGTAAATACGTCCATTGACACGATGTTAGTTTAGCGTGAGATTCTTACATGACTTCGAAGAATAAGTAATCGCTTACGGTTGGAGAGATGAGCTTCTTGGATGTGCTCGTCTTGTCGAAGCCTCCACGAATGGCGAATCCTGAGACGTCCATCTTCATGTAGCTGCGGCTTGGGATGAAACGATCACCCTGTCAAGCATCGCGGTTAGGTTAGTCATTGAATTCAATCTTTATACAAATAAAAGCGCGAGTCATACGTTTACCTCTGTCGACTTCGGGGTTGCGAAGGGTGTTCTGGGAGTTATCCCAACCTTCGGTGGAGCTTTCTTCACCGAAGTTACTGGCGTTGCTGCCGCTTTAGCCTTGAGACGGCTGCATCCCGCCTTAACTACGGATACAGACCTCTGTCCCGGCTTTCCACCAGAACCCGATCTGCGTAGTGATGCTGGGCCTCCTGTCTTCCCGGCGCTCTTCAACGTGCTCGTCAATAAGAATGGACTTCTTGTTGGCGTGTCCATTATGGTGCTCATCGCTATACCTAAATCCATTTCGGCACCGGAGAAAGAGCTAGAACGAAGAACGTTCGTGAGCGTTCGCGGTGAGCTATCTGGTCACTGTGTGTGACCTAGTACCTGAAAGAAAGCCCTAAAGCGACGACTCCTGAGCGTTTGTGACGATCTGGTAGGAGCATAAAACACTGACCGCTGTTCTATGCATGCTATCAATAAGACGTTACAGCGCCTCCGATGTTTGCTGATGGCCATTTTCATCGCCGGAGTCAACAGGGTAGCGTCCGCTTCCTCAGCCAGGCCAATGAGCCGCTCTGTGGTTCTCGTGGGATTGCGTAGTGTGGTGGCACTGACAAAGGCGGCGGAAATGGTATCCTCCCGCCTTCACCAAGGTTGCTCCCAAAATGCTTCCCCTGAGCGGCATTGAGAAGGGAGCGCCGCGGATTCACTAGGCAGGTAATCTATACGTGATATGAGGTGCTCCAATTGCCGTAGTAGCAGGAAATATGAACCGTAAAATATTTCTGTACAGTCCTCGATTAGGTTTATGGTAATCACAAAGCCCTAAGTTGCGTTACCCTATCTCGCGAACAAAATTCAGTCGTTCGGTGTCAGTTTTCCAAATGCGATGTGGCTTTGACGAATCCAGATTCGGATCTGCCTTGACGGCATCTGCCCGAGTCACGCATTGGTCAGGGCGGATCAATCAACCGATCAAACAAAAGCCGCTATCACAGAATGCGCCGGAAGCAACAGCGCCGCGGAAACGGCGCCAATCTGGCACCGTGCTCACCGCGATTCGTGAATCTTGAGATGACTCGAGATTTCTCGACCCAAGTGAACCTTGAGATGACTCGCACTTCAGGCCTGTGGCATTCTGTACGCGTCCTGACTGACTCCAGGAGCAATGCCTCAATTTCTCCCCATTGGGTCCACTGATCACACACAGCAGTGGCCTCCCCTCACCTTTCTGCTGAATCCCACAATCCCAAGGCAATGGACATCTGAATCCCAAGCTTCCTTGAATCCCTGTCCTCAATCCTGATAACCCCTCACTCCCCTGATCAGCTTCTGATTCCGAGGAGGGGATTCAGCCTTTCCCTGACCTTTGCCAACATTTACTTGGAGTTTCCTAGAGGAACCACACGAAGCGCGTTTCTGTTTTGGGCAAATTTCCGTTCGGCTCTCTTCCTTGCGGACATACAGTTCGGTACCCAGTTAAACGGAGACTAGTTTCGACCAGTTACACAAAATCCATGGCAGAGGAGAAAGCTGGCAGTGGCTTTTATGCTGACATTGTCGATGGCGATGTGTATAAGTATTTCGCGCACGGCGAATGGAAATCGTCGTCGTCAGGCAGATCAGTCAACATCATAAATCCATGCACCCGTACTGTCGTGTATAGAGTCCAAGGTGAGCTCCTACGAATCGACTTCGTTAACTCCACTTCCGTTCTCCCTTAATCCGCAACATTGGATAACCCTAGAACAATGCGGGTCCGAATGCGGTGCGAATCATCTAGCAGAGAACGATCAACCACTCGTTAAGCTTATTACCTTTCTTCTGCACGCAGGGTGCACGCAGGATGAGGTGGACGGCGTCTTCGAGAGCGCGACGATAGCGCAGAAGCGGTGGGCAAAGACGCCGCTGTGGAAGCGCGCCGAGCTGCTGCACAAGGCCGCTCACATCCTTCGCGAGCACAAGGAACCCATCGTCGACTGCCTCGTTACAGAAGTCGCCAAGGCTCGCAAGGACTCCATCACCGAGGTAAGGCTTGGATTGACTCTGTTTCCAACCAAAGTGAGGGGCTCACATGCTCCGCGAATGCAAGGATTCCTTCGCCTTCTGCCTCGCTAACGAAGTCGCCAAGGCTCGAAAGGACTCCATCACCGAGGTCTCCATTTCCGAGGTGAGGCTTAATTGGACTCCATTACCGAGGTAAGGTTAAATTGGACCCCATTACAGAGTTGAACATTCAGGCGCCTCAATAAAGGCTTTATTGGGCTCCACTACCGAGGTGAGGCTGATATGGACTCCACTCCACTTCCGAGTTGGTGATTCACATCCTTGGCGAATGCAAGAATCCCATCGCCAACTGCCTCGTTCGTTACAGAAGTCGCCACGGCTAAGCAGGACTCCGTACTGAGGTGCGAAGTGCGAACTGTCTGACGTGGCAATCATGCTTGTGCACACAATGAAACGAGCACCCTGCGGCTGATTCTTGAGACCAGGGCAATGACGAGTTTAGAGTTTATGTTTTCGCCACCGCCATTTGTCACACACACGATGACAGCAGCCTAAAGCAGCAGCCGTGAAGTTGTTCGCGGTCCCATTCCGCACCCTAACATCAGCATCCTCTGTTTTAGCTGCCATCCATCACTGCAATCTCACTGGCCGGACTAGGTTCGT